ATTTGCCTCTATACGTGACTGTGAAGTCTATTAAAATCAGAGTTCTCTGTGTTTCTGTCTCAATTCATTTTAACTTGTAAATAAATGACACTTCTGCTGTCTATTTCGCCGTGTCTTTGAACAGTTTGCCATCGACATTTTCCTTCAAGACCTGGCATGGCCTGGTGGTTAGGGCGCTCGACTCGCAATCTGCGGGTCGCGGGTTCGAATCCCCGTCACTGAACATGTCCACCCTTTCAACCGTGGGAGCATTATAATGTGACGGCCAATCCCACTATTCGTTGGTAAAAGGAGTAGCACAAGAATTGTCGGTGGGTGACGTTTACTAGCTACCTTTCCTCTGGTCTATCACTTCTAAATTAGAGACGGCTAGTGGATAGCCCTCGAATAACTTTGCACGGAATTCGAAACAAAGCAAACCAATTTTTCTTCAATTCCACTCATCTTTTATTAACCTACAGGCTAAATTTTTATAAATTCCCTGTTATTCTGTTGGTAGTTTACTCGTATTCACTTACAAACCATGAGAACACCAGCTATAAATAACTTAAATAACAACGCACATACTATAAAGTAAAATGAAGACGACTCCCAAGCAATAATTGCTCACTAGCTAGAATGAGTTATTTTTGGTGAGCTAGCTTGCAAGGTAAGGAAAAACTGTTTAGTTAATGACTTACTAAAAAGTATCTTGTGCACATTTGTAAAGGAAGGACGATGTTTTAGTAGAAATATTACAATATGAACCCCATGTTTGTTGGTAAGGAGCAGACAATGTGCAACTCTCTAAGTAATATCCTATTCTTACCCATATGATAGAATAACAATGTATTAAGCAAATGATTTACGAAACTGCGTAATTTTTACCTAAGCAGTAAAACGGGTCCTTATCTAGAAAGTCGTTTATCAAACATATATTTGTTTGTTTGTTTGAAGTTAAGCACAAAGCTCCACAAGGGCTATCTGTGCTCTGCCCACCACGGGTATCGAAACCCGGTTTCTAGCGTTGTAAGTCCGCAGACATACCGCTGTGCCACTGGGGTGCCAAACATTTATTATCTGCCTAATTACCGAAAATAGCATCGTTTTACTCAGTATGGCACTTAGTTAATACATTGTATCTACCTTAAAAATTACCACATGGTATTACTTAGTAAGCCTTTTAATTAATAGACTATCCATGTGGTTATGGAGTGTTATATATTGTTTCTATCTTACAAATGACCACATGGTATTATTTAGTACGTTGTTTACTTAATACATTGTCTGTCTATTATAAAAACAACAAAGCACTACAAAGTGTCCGACAAGTCTGGAACCATAGGCACTTCAATGAATTTGATAGTATGTATTCCACATGATGTCCTTGTAACTCGAAACAACTTTTGATTAATAGCAGAATTAACTCAACCTTCTCATGCTGTTACAGCGCTATAATCAGTCACGTATCTGAAATTAAGAAAAGGTGCAACTCACCTATGAATCCAAACTTTTCGGATACCCCGTATTTAGTAACTCATTTACTGTTATCATTGTTCCTACCTTACAAACGAATGTTTCATAGACGACTTGATAAATAATATTTCGTTCTTCATTGATTACTTTTAGATACTACAATTTTACAAATGGTTCACTGTGACTTAGAAAATAATGCTCTGTACTCTTGGGCTGTGTAGAAGATACGTTTGATAAATAAGTGATTTTATTTTACTTTGTTCACGTCGATTTGGTAGAGACTATGTATTCAACTAAGTAACTCTCTTTACGCAAGGAATATGTGGTAACTTTGCGATTGATAAATGGCATGTTAAATAATGTTCTTTGCTCTTTGGTTAGTTAGAAACGACGTATTTAAAAGACGACTGTTTATTCACAATTTTGAGCTCGTTAGCTTTATAGAAGCGATGTTTACTTTAGAAACCTTATTGAACAATGTCTCTATATTGTCTAAAAGATGGAGGTGATATGCCTTATAATTATCTTACTAAGTAACATTTACTAGTTCAATAAACGACACCCCTGTAGCAAGACTTACCAAATATTGCTGTAGTAAAGAAGGATATATTGTTGTAATATACTAATTAACCCTCAACTGGTTAGGTGGGGTCAAAATGACCCACATCGATTTTTGAAGTCGATTTTCCAACTCAGCTAGTGCTGCTTTCTACTTGATGTTTTCTGTACTATATCCTCAATCAGTTCCTGAGTGTTGAGCACAGCGGATGTACTGTTACAACCATTTTTCTTACTGTTGCAATCATTCGTTTGTCGTTTGCGTAGCATTCTGACCCTACCGTAGATAATACAGTGTCTTGCAAAAGTTTTTACTTTCTATCATTAAATGTCATATTTTGATGAAATACAATTAAGGTAAACAATTTTTTTAAATGAACTTAGTTTTTATTCAAAGCTGTAATGATCAAACTTAACACTGTTATGTGTGAAGGAGGTTGAATGACAGCAAAACCTGCAAGAAAATGTATAAATTGAAATTTGCTGATTGCATAAGTACTGAGCTCCCTAAGTCAATACTTGGTGGAAGCAATTACAGCTGTGTGTCTTTTTGGATAGGTCTCTACCAGCTTTGCCCAATGGGATTGTGTAATATTTGCCCATTCTTCCTGGCAAAATTGCTCCAATTCTGACAAGCTCGTTGGGGATCGTTGATGGACTGCAATTTTCAAGTCTCGCCATAAATTTTCTATTGGATTCAAGTTAGGACTTCGACTGGGACACTTTAGGACATTCGCTTCTTCGTTTGAAACCACCACTCCACTGTTGCTTTGGCCTTTTACTTTGGGTCATTGTCCTGCTGAAATGTGAATTTTCGACGCAGTTTTAGATTCTTGGTTAATTCAAGCAGGTTTTCCTCTACGATTCGCCTGTATCATCCATCTTCCCCTCAATCGTGACAAGCTTCCCAGCCCCTGCTGATGAGAATCATACCCGTAACATGATGCTGTCACCACCATGCTTGACATTTGGGATGGTGTTGACTGGGTGATGTGCTGTGTTGGACTTGCACAGATTAACGCTTTGAATTTAGTCCAAAAAGCTAAATTTTTGTCTCATCGGACCAGTAAACATTCTGCTACATGTCTGCAGTATCATTTACATGCTTTATCGCAAACATTTAAGATGATTCCTTTTTTATTAACGGCTTCTTTCTTTCTACTCGCACATACAGGCCAGCTTTTACACATCCCAGACATATAACTTTACAAATCTTTCAAAGTCACTGTTGGTTTCACAGTGGCATCATTAACCAGTTTACTGCCTGCCTGCTTACTTTGGAAACGTGGACTGGTCTTGGTAATGATTGGGTGGTATAAAGCACATTCCAATTATTAATGATGGACTTCACCGTACTCAAAGGGATAATCAGCTAATTTGAAATTTTCTTGCAACTTTCTTCTGATCTGTGTTTCTCTACCACTTTAACCTTGACTTTTTTGGAAAGTTCCTTTGTCTTCATGGTTGGTTTGTCGTATCACTGTGTGAGTTGTGGTCTGAACAGATGCATTTACTCTGAATTCAAGTTAAACCACTTTAATTACACACAGACAGAGACCATTACTCTAATTTTGTGACCTTTCAAACTAATCTTTTGCACCTGAACTAATTTAGGGATGTCGTAGGAAAGGGATTCAATAGTTATGCAATTGAGAATATTCTAATTTTCCTTGAAAATCTAACTTACTTACATAATATCAGCGTTTTTTTTTTTAGCTTTCGCAGTTTCGATTAGATTATAGAGATTCTAAATATAACGTCTTATTTGAAAGTTTCATGATTGCAAGCTGAGATGGGGAAATTTTGCAGGGGATGTGTGAATACTTTTGCAAGGTAATGTACGTTTGAAGTTTGAGCGACTCTACCACTTAAGATTCATCTATTTTTACCCTACCAGTTGAGGGTTAGCATCTACTAGTTGAATAAATGACTCGTTTCAAGCAAGACTTACTCAATATTGCTGTAGTAGAGAAGAACTTATTGTTTTAATATACAAATTGAAAATTTTCCCAGGAGATGCCACGTTTGATATAGTGTTTGAAATTTGCTGGATATGTAAATAACGAGACTTGTCACGACAGATCGGGGTAAAGCATATTCACAGTAGAAATTTTTCAGTGTCATTTAGTTTTTGTCATTAACTTAGAGTTCAGATAGTATCTTTGTGTAGACTTATAGTGCAAATGAGATACTAGTACTTGGGATACAGTGACTAAGAGGAGTATCGGTCTGTAGATGTGAGGTTTCGTTCCCGCTAGAAAAGAAAAACAACCAAAAAAGCAAAAAAAAAAACTCGCACTCCACACAATGTTTGGTGCCGTGAGTGTGTTGTAAGAGTGACAGTCAAATCCCACAATATTGTGTCTGACAAGAGTAGCCCAAGAGTTCACTCGCTGTTTTCACTCTTGTCTATTGGTTCAAAATTAATGAAAGTTAGAGAAGTTAACCCTTGCTTAGCTTTGCTCAAAATTCAGCAAACAAATAAACTTATGGAGATTGTGTGGCTCAACGCCATATACACTACTTAAAAAAGAGAAACGTATTGTTTGATTCAGAGTGGGCCTATTTAGAATCGTGTTTTCTTTTAATAGATCATATCTTGTTCTGTTGATGATAGATAATTTCATCAATGGTAGTTTAATATGTTTTTTAATTTGATAACTTGTATAGCTCAAATGACTCAACAAGGCTGTTTCTTAATAATACTGTAAGTAACCTGACTGTTGTTTGTTTGTTGAATTTCATGCGTTGTAGTCTGACAATCTGATAAGAATACATTTTAAAGTTACTTCCCTTGTCGCTACTCATATACAACATGCTTCAAAAATATTACGTTATGCCAGTGGGTTAGGTGCTTTATATACCGTTTAATGAATCTCTCTGTTTATTTGTTCTTCTGACAGTAGACAATTAACTCTGTATTTCCGACTTGCTATATAATATAGCTTTTTTTTTTTTGGTAGGTGGAGACGATGTCCAACAGCTTTGTGAAGCCGGAGAAGAAGAGTTCTTGGAAATAATGGCTTTGGTAGGGATGGCAAGCAAGCCTCTACATGTTAGGCGACTCCAGAAGGCGCTACAAGAGTGGGTGAACAATCCTGGTAAGCAGTCTCGTGTATTCAGAGTTATCATAAACATTTCTTGTTTGGCAAGTATTACTGTTAAGTAATATTGAGTATTCCTAATATTCATAGTTATTTCTCATGATATGTAGTGTCATATGTTTATAAATACCTGAAACATTTCCTGTTTGGCAAGCACCACGAGTAAGAAATATAATGTTTTCAGAATTACCATAATAATTTCATATTTGCCAAATGTTACTGATAAGTAACCTTATGTATTTTTAATATTCCTCATCGTTTCTTGTTTGGTAAATATTACTGATAAGTAGTGTCATGTGCATAGAATTGCCATAAGCACTCCTTTAGCAAACATCACTAGTAAGTAGTCTCATGTTTTTAGGATTATCTTAGTCATATCTAATTTCTCAAATGTTCTTGGTAAGTAGTCTTATGTATATAGGATTACTTAAGTATTACTTATATACTTAAGTATATATAAGTATTTCTTGTTTTACAGGTATCACTCGCAAGGTACTGTAGTTTATTCAAGATTACCATTATAATGTCCAATTTGTTAAGTAGTCTTCGAACGATCATGAGCATGTTTCCTCTTTGGCGAACACCACTAAAAAACACTCTGTTTTTTTTAATATAAAATGTATAAATCTTCCTAACTAATAATTGTTAAGTCGATAGAATGAGATATATTATGAATATTTGACGTAGCAGTAGGAGTTAAGTAAAGGTCATTGTTTTCAAAACGCTATGAGTATTTGTTAAAAACAAACATTCATTAGTGTAATTTGATTGATTAGTTACATGAACCTGGAAGCCAAACAATTGATTATTTGTTATTTCTGCTCCTTGTTCCTCGAGATGGAGTTATGGTTATCGTAACCACTGTCTTAGTTTTGTTTAGGATTTGCATTGCTTTTCATAATAGGAAAATTTAGTTAGTTAGTTAGTAATTAAGCACAAAGCTACACAGTGGACTATCTGTGCTCTGCTCATCACGGGTATCGAAACCCGTTTTCTAGCGTTGTAAGCCTGCAGATATACCGAGAAAATTTAGAGCTTATCTTTGTTCTACCACTGAAGAACTATATTTTTGTTAAAGGACAAAAAACATTATTATACACATGATGTGTATTAGGTTGTGCCTGCTATAACATGACACAATGAAACACACACAAACAACTAATAAACTGATAATTGCTTTCAAATTTTTATAACACATTATAAGTGCTTTTCACTAGTTTGTTCACACACCAAACAACAAACATATTATAATTTGAATATGTCATAGCCTTAGAAAGATATTACTAAAACAGCGAGAGTTGATAAGGTAGGTACAGTTGTGATAAGTTGTCTCAGAAATCAAAGGGAGAAAAGGTTAGTACACGGTATATATTCAATTAATTAAGTTTAGCTTATCGTAGCAATATGTATGAAACGCTTGCATTATTTTTGTTTTGTTTTGTTTTCCAAGGTATTTACAATATTGGGATTTTAGATGGCATATATCTCAGCGCTTAAAAAAAAATACGATTTTTGCTACGAAAATGTGTCATGGGGCAAAACATACTAATAAAAGAAAGCTATACAAGTAAACATTTTACATTAAATTTATGGGTAAATTATGAAAAAGTAAAGTTAACTGTTTTTTTTATGTCCTCTTGTGGCACAGCAGTAAACTTGAGTGCTTATAACTCTAAAAGTTGGGACTGGATTCTCCACGGTGAACACAGCGCACTTAGCCTGTTACGTGACTTTGCTCTTATAACAAACGAACGTTTTCTTGTCGTTAAAAGGTCACATTCTTCTTGTTATATTGGGAACAACAAAGTTTACTAGTATTGGTATTGTATCGTCAAAACTAATTTAGGTTTCAAGCGGCTGAGGTAATGAGATTTACTGTGTAATTCATGGTATTTAAATTGCCAGAATAAGCATTTCTTTCTTTGCAATGATTTTTAGCTAGAACTGATTAATTTACACCAAAGTTCCAGTTAAGCACTGATGTATAATATTATCATTAATAAGCAAATTATTCATAATGGAGTAACATGTTAAGTATTTTTGAATAAATTAAAACGGCTGGCTGATATAGTAGTTAGTAATGGCAATGTGAAGTGAGAATTCAGTTCCTATTAAAACACATATTACTGAATACATACGGAACAGAAATTAACCCTCTAGAAAGTTTTTCTTTGTCCTACTGTTACAAGTATTTGTAGAGGAAGAAGTAAACAGCATCAAATCTATGAAATATAATTATCTTATTACGTTTTTCTATTTAAGTACAAGCATACTTAACTCACTGTTCTGATAGAGTTAATCTGATTTAACAGCGATAGATTAAATCTCATAGATCGAAATATTATTTATCAATTAGTTGAAATAATTCTTCTATATGTCTTGGATATTATACACATATAAGTAACCATACATACACTATTTCACGGACTTCACACTAAAAGTAAATTGTCTCTGTTCTATTTTATACCCCTTTCCTTATTATGCAGTCAGTGTGGTGACAGAATCCGTTTTTCCATGCATTAATCATTCATTAAGCCAGGTCCCCCGGGTACACGCTCCAAACAAATCGATAAAGCCTATTTGAGTACATGTAATTTGGGAGTTAAACAACCATCAAACAATCGTTGTATATATATATTGTCTTTTGGAAGTCAGTCGAACTGCACGTATTCGTTAAGTAACTGCTATAAAGGATAAAAATATGTGTACGCCATGATAATTAAGTGTGAATTTTCAGCGGCTGCAGAGAAAAATATAAAAACTCGCATTTATTATGCTTATATCATATTTCATACCCAATTAATTTATGATTTCTTTAGAAAGAGGTCGTTAAAATAATTTCAAAGAAACCCTAGTTTAAGCCGAGTTTATAGCTCAAAGTCGTGTATTTTCTCTTAGAAAAAAGTACTTAGTTTTATTTGTTCATATAAGATAAATATTACTCGTGTATGTCCAGTTATAATGCAGACTGTACTGGGTGGGATTCGGTAAAAAAACAACAACAACAACAAATATTCTTGTGTGGTCATTTAGTGAAAGGACTGTACTTATTAACATCTAATCACAATAGGCTACCAACATACCTTGTGGTGATTACATCTTGGTTATGTGGTAATTTGGTAAGGACACAGTACTTGTATATGTTTATTTAGGGAGATGGTTGTGCTTCTTTTGTACGTTTTGGTGATTATATTTTGGTTATGTGGTAATTTGGTAAGGAAACAGTACTGTATATGTTTATTGGGGGCGATGGTTGTGCTTGTTTTGTACGTTTTGGTGATTATTTCTTGGTTATGTAGTAATTTGGTAAGGAAACAGTACTGTATATGTTTATTTAGGGAGATGGTTGTACTTGTTTTGTACGTTTTGGTGATTACATCTTGGTTATGTGGTAATTTGGTAAGGAAACAGTACTGTATATGTTTATTTAGGGAGATGGTTGTACTTGTTTTGTACGTTTTGGTGATTACATCTTGGTTATGTGGTAATTTGCTAAGGAAAAATACTTGTATATGTTTATTTTATGAAGAAACTGTACTTTGGTTATTCAGTGAGGTGATTGCACCTATTTTTCGTTTTTTAATTTGTTGAGTAAACTGTTCTTTTGTGTGTCATTTGGTGGACTCGTGTTTGTCTTTACATGAAGTGTTTGTATGTATGTCATGTGTATATGTAAGACTTTCGTGAGAAGAGTGACCTGTGTTTTGTAACAAAATGTATTTTAAAGAGATGTTTAACCATCTACTTTGTCATTTGGTCCGCAAACTGTACAAATGTTCGTCATTTCGTGAGATATTTATACTTGTGTGTGGTAATTTAGTGAGATTAATGTACTTGTGTTTCGTAATTTGGTTAGCAAACTGAACTGTGTGTTCATATAGTGAGATTATTGTACGTTTAGTTTATCATTAGTTGAGCAAATTTTACCTTTTTGGTCAGTTAGAGAAATGACAGAACATGTATTTTGTCATTTGTTGAACAAACTATACTTGTGTGTGATCATATAGTGAGATGATTGTGTTTGTAGTGTAATTTTGCGAGATTCCTGTACTTGGGTGGCTTTATTTTGTTTGATGATCTTACTTGTATTTTATCATTTGGTGAGCAAATTCTACTTTTGAGTAATAATTTAGTGATATGACTATACTTCTGTTTTTCATTTTGTGAGCCAACTATAAATGTATATATCATTTGGTTACGTACTTGTGTTGGTCATTTAATGATATTATTCTACTCGTGTTTTGTCATTTTATGTACAAACCGTACTTGTGTGTGGTCTTATAGGCAGAGAATTGTACCTTTCTGTTGATGATATTGTTGTTTGTTTGGTCATTTAGTATAATGATACAATTTGTGTTTTGTCATGTGGTGCGTAAACTGTACATGTGAATGGTCATTTAATGATATTATTCTACTCGTGTTTTGTCATTTTATGTTCAAACCGTACTTGTGTGTGGTCTTATAAGCAGAGGATTGTACATTTCTGTTGATGATATTGTAGTTTGTTTGGTCATTTAGTATAATGATACAATTTGTGTTTTGTCATGTGGTGCGTAAACTGTACATGTGAATGGTCATTTAATGATATTATTCTACTCGTGTTTTGTCATTTTATGCACAATCCGTACTTGTGTGTGGTCTTATAGGCAGAGAATTGTACCTTTCTGTTGATGATATTGTAGTTTGTTTGGTCAATTAGTATAATGGTACAATTTGTGTTTTGTCATGTGGTGAGTAAACTGTACATGTGAATGGTCATTTAATAATATTATTCTACTCGTGTTTTGTCATTTTATGTACAAACCGTACTTGTGTGTGGTCTTATAAGCAGAGGATTGTACATTTCTGTTGATGATATTGTAGTTTGTTTGGTCATTTAGTATAATGATACAATTTGTGTTTTGTCATGTGGTGCGTAAACTGTACATGTGAATGGTCATTTAATGATATTATTCTACTTGTGTTTTGTCATGTGGTGAGTAAACTGTACATGTGAATGGTGAGATGGTTGTGTTTGTTTGTTTCGTTTGGACTGTATAATTTATTTTTATGGTTATTTTTTGAATATATCACACATGATTGTTAGCGGGAGAAGAGTACTTATTTCTTTAATTATAGAAGTAAAAGAAAAAAGTCGTTATAAATATGTCTGATTTTGACAGGACAAATTTATGTGTTATCACTCAAGGACAGAATATAGTACACACGTGGGGTGATGTTTGTTTATTTGTTTGTAATAAAGCTCAAAGCTACACAATGGGCTATCTGTGCTCTGCCCACCACGGGTATCAAACCCAGATTCTAACGGTGTAAGTCCGCAGACATACCGCTGTGCCACTGGGGGTAGGGTGATGTTATAAAAATAATATAGCTGTAAGTAATCACTGAATGAGAAAATTATTTTGTAATTTAAACACAAGCCTGAATATTCCTCTAGTTATTTAGACAGAAAATGTCATTTATTTCTTATGATTAGAAAAGAAGAATGTATATGTCAATTGCAATTTCAACAGAATATTGTATTTGAGTTTGTTATATTAGACAGAAAATTGTTTGTTTGTTATCGATAAGACAAGAGACGATACATATAAGTGTTGGCCTACGCTGAGAATCGTATTTGTTTGTTATCGATAAGACAAGAGACGATATTTATACGTGTTGGCCTACGCTGAGAATCGTATTTGTTTGTTATAGATAAGACAGGAGACGATATTTATAAGTGTTGGCCTACGCTGAGAATCGTATTTGTTTGTTATCGATAAGACAAGAGACGATATATATAAGTGTTGGCCTACGCTGAGAATCGTATTTGTTTGTTATCGATAAAACAAGAGACGATATATATAAGTGTTGGCCTACGCTGAGAATCGTATTTGTTTGTTATAGATAAGACAGGAGACGATATTTATAAGTGTTGGCCTACGCTGAGAATCGTATTTGTTTGTTATCACTACCAAAGAACACTGAATTTATGAGTGGTGATTTAGACAGGAAATCGTATTTATTTGCTATAATTACGACAGAATTCTGTATTTATGAGTGTTTGTTTAGATAGTAAATCGTATTTGTTTCTTGTCATTACGAAATAATACTATATTTATGATTGTTGAATTAGATAGTAAATCGTATTTATTTGTTATCATTACGAGATAGTACTGTATTGATGAGTGTTGACTTAGGTAGAAAATAGTATTTTTGTGTTATCATTACGAGAGGATACTACATTTTTTCAGTGTTGGCCTAGGCTGAAAATCGTATTTGTTTGTTATCAGTACTAAAGAATACCGAATTTATGAGTGGTGTCTTAGACAGGAAATTGTATTTGTTTGTTATCATTACAACAGAATTCTGTATTTATGAGTGTTGACTTAGGTAGAAAATCGTATTTATTGATTATCATTACGACAGAATAATGTGCTTATGAGTGGTGGCGTATACAAAAAATCGTATTTATTTGTTATCTCCACGAGAGAGTACTGTATTAATGAGTGTTGATGTAGGTGGAAAATCGTATTTGTTTTTTATCGATAAGACAGGAGACGGTGTTTATATATGTTGCCTTAGGCTGAAAATTGTTTTTGTTTTTTATCGATAAGACAGGAGACGGTGTTTATATATGTTGCATTAGGCGGAAAATCGTATTTGTTTTTTATCAATAAGACAGGAGACGGTGTTTATATATGTTGCCTTAGGCTGAAAATTGTTTTTGTTTTTTATCGATAAGACAGGAGACGGTGTTTATATATGTTGCCTTAGGCTGAAAATTGTTTTTGTTTTTTATCGATAAAACAGGAAACGGTGTTTATATATGTTGTCTTAGGCTGAAAATCGTATTTGTTTTTTATCAGTACTAAATAATACTGAATTTATGAGTGGTGTCTTAGACGGGAAATCGTATTTATTTGTTATCATTACTGATAATAATGTATTTATGAGTGTTGACTTAGGTAGAAAATTGTATTTGCTTGTTATCATTACGAATGAATTCTGTATTTATGAGTGTTGATTTAGGTAGAAAATCGTATATGTTTGTTATCAATTCGACAGAACACTGTATTTATGAGGGTTGAGTTCGTAAAAAATCGTATTTGTTTGTTATCATTACGACACAATAATGTATTCATGAGTGGTGACTTATACAGAAATTCATATTTGTTTGTTATCATTACGAGCGAATACTGTATTTATAAGTGGTGACTGATACAGAAAATCGTATTTGTTTGTTATAATTACGACAGAATAATGTATTTATGAGTGGTGACTTATACAGAAAATCGTATTTGTTTGTTATAATTACAACAGAATAATGTATTTATGAGTGGTGACTTATACAGAAATTCATATTTGTTTGTTATCATTACGAGCGAATACTGTATTTATAAATGGTGACTTACACAGAAAATCGTATTTATTTGTTATAATTACGACAGAATAATGTATTTATGAGTGTTGAATGAGATAGTAAATCGTATTTGTTTGTTATAATTACGACAGAATATGTATTTATGAGTGGTGACTTATACAGAAAATCGTATTTGTTTGTTATAATTACGACAGAATAATGTATTTATGAGTGGTGACTTACACAGAAAATCGTATTTGTTTGTTATAATTACGACAGAATATTGTATTTATGAGTGTTGACTTAGACAGAAATTCATATTTGTTTGTTATCATTACGAGCGAATACTGTATTTATAAGTGTTGACTTAGGTAGAAAATTGTATTTATTTGTTATCTTTACGAGAGAATAGTGACTTCAGCTGAAGTTATGTTTTTTTTGTTATAATTAACACATCAGACTGTATTTGTTTGTTTTCATTAAGACAAATTTATTATTATTTACAATAAATTACTTGTTTGTTGTCATCAAGACAGAAGGCCTTTTGATTTGCCGGAGTAAGATAAAAAATAGAGCCTTTACATTTTTGTCTTGTCAGAAACAATTCAAACAAAATCTAAACTTTATAAATATTGGATAAAGTAATGTTTTATGGATTTTATAGATGAAAAGCGATTGTATTTGTGTGTGATAAATATCATGGAGATGGGTCACTCTATTTGGGTGTGACCCTTTAGTGACATCTATATTTGTGTGTATGAATATTGAAAGAGGTAGTTATATTTGTGTCATCATTTTGGGAGATGGTTATTTTTGTGTGTCACCATCTAGGGAAATGGTTTTAATTGTATGTGTAACCATTTAGAAAGAAGTTATATTTGTGTGTATGACTGTGTGAAGAAAATAATATATTTATATGTAAATATCTGGAGAGATGAGTATATTTTTAGTGACCATTTAGAGAGATGACTATATCTGTATGTAACGATTTGTGGAGATGACTATATTTATATGTGACCATTTAGAGAGATGACTGTTTGTATGGGACTATTTAGCGAGTTGACTATATCTGTATGGGACCATTTAGAGATATGACTGTATCTGTATGTAACTATTTGGGGAGATGACTATATCTGTATGCAACCATTTAGAGATATGACTATATTTATATGTGACCATTTAGAGATATGACTATATTTGTATGGGACCATTTAACAAGATGACTATATTTATATGTGACTATTTAACGAGATGACTATATTTGAATGTGAACATTTGGGTAAATGACTATATTTGTGGTGAGCATCTAGAGAGATATAAATATGTTTATGTTTCCGTTTACAAGAACGAATTATTGAACTTTCAGTTAGAGAGACAGCTATACTTGTATCTGCTCAATTTCAGAAAATACTGTATTTTCCAATATCGAATGCCACAGTTAGGAAAAGAACCAAATATTAGTGAATCATTATTAATTTGTTTTAAAAAACATGTAGTTGTAACCTTACACACACTTGATGACTAGTGTGTTTTTTGTTTTTCTTCTACGAATTAAGTCCGGTTTGAAAAATGAATGTATGTATATATATATATATATGTACATACACATACATATATTATATATATGTTGTGAAATATCTCCCATTGGTTTTAGAAAAATACAGATTTATCATGTGTTTCATGTTTTCAATATAGGTTTGACTTTAAATTTTCAAGAGACGAGAAGTGCTATCGCTAAGTCTCACCAAAACGGGGGAAAAGCTTGACTGTGAGGATTTGGAAAGAGAAGACCGTACTTGTGTAATACTATTTGGAGTGATGACTGTACTTAAGTGTTACTATTTGGAACGACGACTTTACTTGTGTGTTACTATTTGGAGATACTGAGTGTACTTGTGTGACTATTTGGAGAAACGATTGTCTAATGTGTTATTATCTGGAGAGATGACTACTGTGCTTGTGTGTGACTTAAGGGAGAATATGGTGTACGTGGCAAGTACCGCCACCAGAGTTGTAAAAGACTTTAGTGATATATGAAGTGTATCTGTCAAGTGAATATGTTCGTCGTGTGTGAAGAGCTCAACAGTCAACAGCTGTTCAGCACTTGCAATGTTAGCAATCAGAAACTGAAGAATATTTGAGTTGAGGTGTGGTTAAAGTGGATAACGTTAGGCTTTTCTGGATAACATGCTATAAAACCCTGTATGCTTATTTAATGTTTGTCCAGCGTGAGATTACATTAATTACTTCAATTTTTTTCATGTTGAGGAATGTTTTCCTCTCTTGATTTCAGCCATGTTTCAGACACCGCTTGTGCCCACCTTGCCCCCAAACCATCCAAGCCACCTTATGAACTCCTTAACCGCTTCGAGCAGGGCGGGTCCCGGTCCTTGCCCTGGTCCTGGAGCTCCTGTCAACCTATCCCAGTCGTCGGGACTACCACTGAGACCCAGTACACCAGTCCCCATGCTCCCAAACATTAGTAGTCATTCTTCCCCTTCCCCAGGAAGAAAGGAGGTACCGTCCCCCAGCCAAGCTCACGTGACGTCACAGCATCAGCATCAACAATTCTCGCAGATGCAACAACAACTTAGCCAGTCTTTTCAGCAGGTAAAATACATCGTTATTTTTGTCTCTAAGATAGTATCTGTTACTAGTTTTTTTTTCAATAATTATCATCATAGCATAAATCACTAACTGTATTGTTTGCGTTTTAACTTTAATAAAATGTACTTACAATTATGAATCAAAACAAATTACTTCAGCTGAGTTTAATAAAATCAAAATATGTTGTTTTTTTAATTTTTTAATATAATGAAGAAACGCTTTATCTCTTCTGTCTAACAAACTATCAGAAAGAAAGGTGTAATCAATACAAATTTCTACTGAAGATAAACAGGTAATTTTCTTGGAAAAAAAACGTGAGGGTTCTGAAACAAAAAAAAAAAAGAGTTATTTGATGTTTTGTAAGAAACGTTGATAGCTTTATTTTGTTCCCGGAATACCTAGCAATTCTTTGCTCATTCACTACTGGTTGTAACAATTGTAGCAAGTCAATCATATTTAAATTATCTGATCAATATGTGTGAGTAGACTTCAAATAGGTAAACCTTGAAAAGAGCGCTATTAAAATTAACACCTTTGGAACTGTATAGAGTTGAATTTTTGAACTTATTTCCAAAACAAATTTGGGCAATTGAAGTTTAACAATTAATTCAAAAACGTGAAACGTTGCAAACGAAAAACAGACAAATAAAACCATAATACAAGATTTATTAGGATGCAAAGATGTGTCCGATTGCTTAGAACTTGCATGGAAAACTCGAAGGTTTGAGGTTGTTGATTTATTAAATTTTATTCTTTAAGGTGTTAGCGTTAACGTAATTCAAATCTAACTAGAATATTATTCCATAAGTAACATGGTAATCACATCATGAAATCTAATAATGGTTGGAGACGGCTTAAATGGGTAATGAAGAAAAACTTTAATATAAGTTTAACATTAGTACCTCATGATGACAAAACCTTGTCGAAACGTTGTACATTTGCTGTTATGTTAAACTTATATTAAACGTTTTCTTCATTACCCATTCAAGCCGTCTCCAACCATTATTAGTCTCAAAGTGGGTTCCTCGTCATCGAATCATGAAATCTATTAAATCGCCAGCGGTGGTGCTTTAGAGGGACCTGTCCCTCCCCCAAAAACTACATTTTTGAAATTACAGCTAAACTATTATTTTAGAAGATTAAACACCTGCGATAACAAAGTTAAAACTTTTTGATTTGTTTGGAATAGCGTGAGGTCCCCTTTAACCGCTTACCTAGCGTGTGTTTAAGATCGGGGTGATACCAAAAATGTTGGAATTGTGATATGTTGTTAGATATCATCCTGTCTTCCTATAAACGGAAATATAATCACTGTAAAGATCTTGTTTCTTTAAGTGACGAACATCAATAATGTTGAGATTGTAATATAGTGATGGAGGTCCTTCTTTTTGGATTTGTTGAAAAGCGATAGCATTCGATATTTGTGTGCCGGCAATAATGCTGTTACCTTGTAACGAAACTGGTTTCTTCGAGAGCTTAATGTATTTATGGAATTTTATTTTACATATGGTTTTGACAAGTGTATATATTGCTTAGATAGCCAGAGGACTGAAATAATATACTTTATTGGATTGTTATAGGATTTAATTGATGTTAATGATATTGAAAAGTCTCGTCTAGTAAGCTTGTATATGAGGTACTAATGATCAAGAAATAGTACTTTCTAACTGTGTTCGATAGCTTTTCTAGATTGATTTTGACCTTCATATAATTTACTTAGGTATGTTCCAGAAAACTCAAAATTCAGAAAATACTCCATTAGTTTTTGATTGCCTGTTATATCTCGTAGCTTCAACATTTACCTGTTAAAAGAAATTGTCCCTGAAATATGTTTTTAACACTTTGACTACTTGCTTTTAGAACCTCTGGCATACAAATATTTTCTTGTTACTATAATAGTGTTTGTCGATATTGAAATTTAGATAATGTAAATTTTTGAAATTTCCTTAGGCCAAAAATGGCAATTGTATCTTGCTACTGTCAGGTGAGAGTGCCATCTCAGTTATACTAACTGACACGTTCAATTTGTTTTTTCAACCCCTCGGTGACGCTCCAGAAAGTTTGAAAGCTTATAACGCTACAAATCAGGGTTAGATCCCAGCAGTAAGCACAGCACAGTTAATCTATTGTGCAGCTTTGCGCTTGAAAAATCAATTAATCTATAAATTTACACTAAGCTCCTTTATATTACTCTGACAATTACCATTTTTGAACAGTTGCACAAAACTTTTAATAATATAGTAAAAACATTATTTGAAAAACCTTAACTTTACGTTTGTAAATATTGCTTTAACATTGCAATTAATCTGTGAAATTTTATTTTCTTCTATTTCTCTATTTTAATCCGAATGGCTTCCGTTTTTAAAGTTACTGAAGACACAACACTATGGCATAATAATTTTGGCATTACGAACGTTTCAAAATGGCATCCGAGATATGTAGATTTATCGTATGAAATGTAATACAGTTGAATAATTTTCTGGAGATAACAGACATAAATCTGTGACTTTTTATTATTTGGCTACTTTATGAGAAAAGAAAACGATACTCAAACTCAATTCTTTATGAGTACAGGCATATTTTACGTGTATAATATAAGTTACTAGTGTCCTATAATGTATTCAACCAAGATCTAGATGAATTACTAAACTGGTTGTAATTTAACAAAAACGGACTAAAAGTAAGAAGCTGAGTATAGAGAAGAAGCTCACATGTTGGCAAGGCAAGATACGACTGGCCAGCTGTAAATCAGTAGTATTTGATTTATATTCTCCTCCAATGTGGACTTGTTACTTGGAGTTCGTCTGTGTACAGAATATACGTGAATGGTGATTGTAATAAAATTCTCTATATTTGTCTCAAGTTGCTAAACTAATGAACTTGTAGTCAAAAATATGGCTCTGTCGTTCCAGGTGTCAAAATTAGCATTACGAGTTTTATATGTGAATGGCTTGCAAGTATTTTACGTGCCATCGATAACTTAAGTATCAATACATTTCTTGAAGAGTAATTATTATATTAATTTTATTTCGAACGTTTCGTTGAGTCCGAATCGAACAATATGAATGTTCTTGTTACTCTCCCCTTTTTTCTTTCGAAATAAGATATTCATTATAACGATATATGAACTAAAAGTACAACATAAATATACAGTGTCTACGTGTATACATATATATATGTTTCCAAATCATTCTATTTGAACCGAAAAAAGAATAAAAATTTATAACAAGAAATAGCTTTTAAATGTATCGACTTTCTATTTTCCCTACGATAACACAAGTCTGCGATGGTTTTATTGTCTAGTAATTCCTGTACGGTGAATTCGAAAATGATATCCATATTTCTCCATCACGTACATATTTTTCACACAACGTCATAACCCAATACATAAGAGAAAGACCACAACAGGCAGTTTGAGACTAAAAGGCGTAGATTTCACACACACAAAAAAATGAGGATGCATATTCGTTTGATATCAATGTTCTTCCCTTTTCTTCAGTTTGTATTTTGTTAACAAACATAATAATAAAAATGTTCCTTGGGGTAAATGAAATAAGATTTTATCTAAGTAAGAGTTTTTTTTT